CCTGCTGAGCCCCCAGGTTCCCGCCATCTCTGGGTATAGGTTGGTAAAGACAAACCCAGGTGAACTTCCTGGAGTGGGATGTCACAGCCCAGTGTTCATTTCGTCTGAGTCAGCAAATCCGCTTCTGGGCTTACTTAGTTATGCGCATGTTGATTTATGGTCTTCTGATATTTAACTCTAAGAAAGCCTCCCCAGAGAAGGAAACAGTTTGCATGGAGGCTTTTGCCGGGAGTTACCCACAGCTGCAAGGAGCTGCACCCCAGAGAAACAGTCTGTCCACCAGGGGGCGCCTTCCGCAGCCGTCGTCCCTGGGGACAAAGCCCCAGAAACAGAAGCTGGGAACTGTGCAGGCCCCTGGGGTGGGGAGGCCTTGCTGAGCTGACGGTCCCTCCCCTCCCCGCTGGTGCCCATTCCCATCCTCCAGAGCAGGGACGGACCCAGGAAACCCACCTGGGGTCCTGAGCACCTTCTTGGGCTCATGCCGGGACAGGACCGGTCAGCGGGCCCTGCCTGATACCCCCGCCCCCCCAACCCGCAGGAAGGCCCCCTGGCTGGTGATGGAAGCTCTGCCCTCTGAAGGGGGTGAGCTGGAGATTAGTGGGCCAGCCCTCTTGGGCTCATGCCGGGACAGGACCGGTCAGCGGGCCCTGCCTGATACCCCCGCCCCCCCCAACTCCCAGAGAGGCCCTCTGGCTGGTGATGGCAGCTCTGCCCTCTGAAGGGGGTGAGCTGTCCCCAGGCCTTGCATTCCCGTCATTGTTGGGTTCCTTTGGCCCACTGCTACCATGACAGGCCCGGGGGCGGGAGTGCCCAACCACATTCCTGTGGGGCCAGAGCATGGTCTGCTGACACCTGCCACCCGGCAGTAACAGCTCAGGGTGGGGCTTCTGGAGGGTCCCAGCGCCTCAACCGGTGCCTGTCCGGGCCAGGGGTGAGGTGGGCTGAGCAGGCAGGGCAGCAAAGGAAGGGCCTTAATCCAGCTCCAGCCGAATGCGGGGCGCTGTGGCCCTGGCTGCAGTTGGAGTGTGGTCCAGCCTCCCCCTTGCTGGGCACAGAGGGAAGTCTGAGTCCCCACCCCACCCTGAGGGCCGGGCTTGACCATGATCTGGAGTCTCTCAAAGTGCCCAGCACTGTGAGTGCCAAGCCCACGGATGTTGCCACTGTAACCCACTATCTCCCAGTCCCCCTCCCCTTCTGCCCGCCCGTTCCAGAGGCCCCGGACCTACCTCTCAGTGGGCTCCTGCACCCCGTTGCTGAGGACTCAGCCGGAGAACAGGACTGGCCAGCTGGCCGAGGGGCATGGAGGGCCTGCTGGGCTGAGTGGCCACGTGGGGCCGAAAGGGTATTTTTAGCCTCTGCCTGCATTGGGAGGGGCGGAGGGATGGGCCGGTGGGGGGAGGAGATCAGTGTGGTCTCCGCCTGGGCTGTCCGCTCTGAAAGCCCAAAGGAGCCTCATCATGGCAGCAAGGCCGAGGCCCCTGGGACCAGGGGGGACGGAGAGCAGGACACATTCCAGGAGGGGTGAGTCTGGGTTTCAGCCCTCCCTGTGGGCTGACTGGGGGATGCGGCTCCCTCCCCCTTCCTCGTCTGGGAGATGGACAGTGAGCCTGTGCTGGGGACCCAGGGGGGCACCCAGAGGCCCCAGCTCGGCTGACGGCACTCGCTCCTCCACGGTTACTGACAGACACCTACGTGCCTCTTGTTCTCTGCCAAGCGGGACGGAGGGCTGGTCACAAGAAAGGCAGTTGGTCAGCGAAGGCTTCCACACGGGAGTCCCTGGTGGCAGTGAGGCCGTCTCGGTGGCGAGGGTGGGGAGGCATCCCCAGTGCCCCTCCAGGCTGGTGGCGGGGACGCGGGATCCTGAGACCTTGACCCCGTTGTATCATGGCCTTTGCCTCGGGGCTGCCGTGGCGTCTTTACTAGCGTGAGAGCCGAAGAGGGCCGAGAAAGGGTCATCTCAAATCCAGCAGCAGGGCCTCGCGGCAGTGCTGGTGCACACGGTCACGGTCACGGGGCGTCACGGGGGCCTCGCATCGAGGCCGCCTGCGTTCTGGCTGGGACACCGAGAGAGGTCTCCGAAATCTCTCAGAACAAAGCTCCTGAGCCGGGGGCCTGCAGGGACCTGTCAGCCCCTCCTTCCTCCCCAAAGGCCGCACTAGCAACCGTTTCTGGGTGTGTGGGGCCGCGCCAGGTTGGGCCACGTCTGACAGAGGCCTCCCAATGTCCACTAGGGACTGGCCGGTGCTCTTTTTAAAAAAATATATGTTTTTATTAATTTGAGAGAGAGAGGAAGGGAGAGGGAGAGATAGAAACATCGATTGGCTGTCTCCCACACTGGGGATCAAGCCCGCTACCCGGGTGTGTGCCCTGACCAGGAATTGAACCAGCGACCTCTTGGTTTATGGGTCGACACCCAACCACTGGGCCAGCCAGCCGGGCTGGCTGATGCTCTTATAGTGCCGAGGGGCCTGCGGCCCGCAGGGGGACAGCCCGCACTCCTGGCAATGTTAGGTAATTTCTCAAGGGGAGCGTGGGTCGGGGAGATGGCTCCTGCCCCACCGGCTGGCGGCATGCTACCTGCTGAGGAGATGGTGTGAGCTCTCAGAGTGCATGCCGCCCAGTGGAGGGCACAGCTGCTCCACAACGACTGCAATGAGTGATTAGCTAACACACGTTCCCTACGCGCTTCCACACTCGCTCACTCACAGGTTTCCTGGATCTATGCTGCCCTCCTCAGCCCAGCCCGGCCCAGCCCCACACAGCTCAGCCCAGACTAACCAAACTCAGCCCAGCCCAGCCCAGCCCAGCCCAGCCCAGCCGTAGCCCTGGACAGTTTCAGGACTCCCCCCAGCCTTGGGCATTAGCGTGGGAGGGGAGGGTGGTGGAGCGGGAACAGAGAACTCAGTGAGTGCCTGCACCACCCCTCAGTTCCCTGTTTGCAGGCAGAACACCAGGGCTAACGCTGGAGGAAGTGAGGACAGGTTCTGATGAGAGGCTGCTGTCACCAGAGCCGCCCAGCTTGGGCACTGAACGGAGACCTTCCCGGGACATGGAGGCCCAGCCCCTTGAATGACAGGTCAGTTTGGGAAACTCGATACCAGGGCTCAAACCAGATCCTCATCAACAGATCACCGCTCGGTGGTGCCATTTTTAAAAATACGCTGCTGGTTTCTTTTCATGACAAAAATCACACATGCTTATTGTGGGGATTTTGGAAAACACAGAAAAATATAAAGCAGAGAATGCCGCCAGTCAGACAACCCCCGTTAACACAGTGGCCCTGCCCTTTCTGCCTTCCTCTGTCGTTAGAGTGGCTGCGGGCAGGTGCCTGAGTCCGGCGTGGTCACTAACATCGCTAGCACTGCTGATGGGAGCGGTCTTTGGAAAGCCTGATTTTAAGTCTCATCCTCATAGGGACCCACCGCACCTTGGGAAGCTGGAGGTGCTGTCCAGTCACCTCTCTGAACAGACTCGATTGGGTGCACAGTGCCACCTCTGATTTCTTCCCGGGGTAGATTCGGAGAGCGAGACCACCAAGTTCAGTGTGCTCACCTTGCAGCCCAGGGTCGTCCCGCGTGGGCGAGCGACGCACTGTCTCGCGGGGGGTATCACTGTCCCTGTGCTTGCCTGGCGCCTGCGTGCCGCGAGGCTCTCCTGGCACAACCAGGCCCTCCCACCCCCTCTGCCGGCGTCTTACGGCCTTATTTGCTCAGGGTATCTTATTCCGTCTGGGATTTATTTGGGGCATGGGGCCATAGGTCATCCCCCCCAATTAGCTGACAACGTCCTCGGGACTATTATGGACACTCCCTTCTTTCCCGAGGACATGCTGCAGCATGTGTATCTCAGGGCAAGCCGGAGAACAGGACTGGCCAGCTGGCCGAGGGGCATGGAGGGCCTGCTGGGCTGAGTGGCCACGTGGGGCCGAAAGGGTATTTTTAGCCTCTGCCTGCATTGGGAGGGGCGGGGGGGCAGGCGGTGAGGGATGGGCAGGTGGGGGGAATGTGGGGGGTAAGA